CGCAGAACTCCTTCCACTCCCTCTCGCACAAGTTTTCGGATCACCTGGGCAAGATTGGCATGTACAGGAACGAGAGCCTGAACACGGCCCTGGAGAAGAGCCACTGCACCGGCTCCGACACCTTCATCACCGCCTACGAGCACCTGGATTTCCACCCCAGCTACAACCCCAGCGGCCCCTCGCACTGCCGGGACCAGCCGCTGTAGCCAGGACACCGCTGCAGCTCTTGGCTGCCTTGGGAAATACACCCACAGCCAGCCTTGCTACTAAACAGACCCGCTAGATTACAGAGGGAATGTTATTTCGGAGTAATATGTTAAAGATTTAATGTGGTTAAGTGTCAGTTAGGTAGCTGATGTGAAGCGTTTTACCTAATTTATCAGCAGCATATAAATGCTAGAACTACATAAATTCCGTATTTATCCTATTATCCCCTTCTCTGTCACTAATGATCCTTTACACTCTTGCCTCATGTACCATATATCATTAAAAATTAAGACTAAACTGCTTCTCTACTATTTAATGAATAATCAATCTGCAAGTTTTCCAGAGGTATTCATTAACTCTCTGGATTTCTGGTAAAAAGTTCACGTTTCTTCTCTCTCAAAACAACAAAGTTTTAAGAAATTATTCAAATAATGCCAAGTAATCAAAAAATATTTTAAAGTTTTATTGGAACAACTGTAGGTACAGGCAAAGAAACTACATCAGCTGGACAGTGACTGCACTGAAAGAACATCTGAACATTTTTGACTGAAAAATGAGTTTTTAAGAGAAACTACTCTGCCTGTTGATGGATGAGAAACTGTCCCACCTTACAGGTGTAACATAACATTAAAGATGAGCATAATATTATTCAAACTGTTTGCTAAAAATATAAACAATGAGTGTAACATTATGTCCAAACCCCACTGCGATTGATACTCTTCACATGTCAGAAATATTCCGTGCTTGTGGCATGTGGTAAGAGCTGGGTAAATCCCCCTCTGCTGCAAACACACCAAAAAATTGGAACAGATAAATAAACTGAGCAGAAATGGGCCTGAAAAGTCAACATTTCAAAGATTTAACATCTAAAAAGAAATAAGCAACCCCCTTTCATTTGCTGTGATTCTTGCATTAGACTCTAGACAATACCTGGAGCTTCTTAGAACTTCCCTTTCTTCTCCTGAAATGAGAAAATAACGAAGTGCTGAATCAATAGAAATAGTGTGACAATGTTACATGTATTTTTATCCACAGATTTTTCTGCAGGTGGCATAATTTAGGAATAAGGCTGCCTCTTAAAAATATAAACAGAGTGGATTCTGTCACATATTTTCCCACTCCATCTGAAAACACCCACTTCTTCTTGCTTCAATTTCTTTCCTTTTAATTTTAATCTTGAAACCAGTTCCTTTGAAGAGTTTGGCATGCAGTGTACAGTGTATCTAAGTGTTCAGAGGTTAGACCAAATACACTTTTCTTAAAAGAAATACCTATACAAATTCAAAATATCCTTCCAAAAATGACTCATTTTACCACACAGGATCTACCTGGAACAATCTTTCTACTCTGTCTTTTGAAAGGAAGATTTTCACATTTGCAGATAAAATTATGTGAAGCTGAACTATCACCAACTGAAGGGATGAAAAATTTAAAAGCTTCTACATTAATAAAAGAAATGGGGGCAGGGATGCTGTGTTCCTGCCTTTTATAAAGAGCAGATACATGTCAAAACACGTGTTCCTAAAATAGCTGCAAAGAACTGGGAATAAAAAATTAAGGGAGTCCTTATTGTCCCTTGAGGAACCTTGAAGTTGTTCCCAAAGCACACAAAACCAGTCACTGGGGTAACAAATGAAGCAATAAACCTCTTTTCACATTTATCTGACACCTGTGGTACTGCAGTCAGGATCTGTAACTCACCAGAGCTGTAATAAAAAACACCAAGTTGTTTAATCACTTAATATCTAAATTAACAAGTTTTGTGCTCTGACTGGAAAGAAAAATTAGCATTGTGTATTTTTAAAAAATACAAACCATCACTCATTAAAGGAAAGGAAGAGCTGAGTTTATGGTTCCATGTATCTATTGCAATAAATGGTGTCTCAGGAGGGTGGGAATAACAGGAAAAGGAGTTTTCTGGACACTCCCCAGAGCTGGAGTGACAGGGCCAGCAGGGCTGTGCAGTCTGTGCCCTCTCTGTGCCCTCCCTGGCGCTGTCTCTATAAACAGGAAATAAAATCTGCTTTTGGAACTGCTTTGATGAAGATTCAGCCTTGAGAGATTCGTGCTGCAGTCCCAACTTTGGTACCACGTGTGGCAATTTACTGGCACTCAATATAATCTTTTTTATTCCTCAGCTGGTCAGCCTTTAGTGATGTGTAAGAGGGATTTCTTATTGCTCCAAACCACCAGACTTCTCTTTTCTGAACAAGATGAGAACTGGGCCAGGATGAGGACACTGCCATGGGAGCCCTGGCTGTTCCAGTTCCAGAGATGCTCCTTGACACATATTTAATTACACATGGAAAGACTCCACTTCTTCACCACAAACACCAGGAAAGAAAACTCCTGGGGTTCTGGTACCACAAGAACCATTCCAACCTCCCAAAAGCCACGCCTTTGTATTTTGTAAATTCTCCTCCATTTTTTTGTTACAAAGAAATAATGACATCCTCAGTCAGGAGGGAAGAAGAGGGAACACAAAAGTTATTACTCGCTCAAGATGATGACACAAACCATAGGAACACTCCAGTTTCATGGTCCATGGGCAGAACCCCATTTATTAAACATTAGAAACTCAGCAATGTACACCAGTTCCTATATACAAATCAAGTTCATCAATTAAAAAAAAAAAAAAAAGTGCTGTTTGAAATCAGGTTTTATTTAAAGCACAAGGTAACTGGAATTGCATTTTAACTGGGAGTGAATCAGGTCACGAGTGGTACTGAGGACACAGACACAGTGACAGGGGCACAAGACACCTCTCAAGTCTTAATGTGGATTTACTGAAAACTTTTGAGGAGAAACATTCAGCTTTTTATACAAACAGTACAGAGTGCTTCCAAGATCTCTAGGAAAATTAAGTATACAGTTTAATCTTTTTAAAGCAAGGTACTTGGAAAACTTCTAGTTTAAAATAGCAGCCTATTGACCTATTCCAAACAAAAGGCTCAAATCCTGCAACGGAATCAAGGCAGAGCAAAAGACAAACTTGTGAAGAGGGAGTGCAGGCACTGAGCTACGGAAAAAAACACTTTTCCAAGGTATCCTACCACAAAATGGAGATGAGCTAACACACTGACCTTTAAACAACCTGGCCAACCGACCCCAGGGCTACAAAAAGGTGGCTGGACAGTCAGAAATGCCAAGTGAGCACTAGAAACATGTTCCAAACGTAGCTGCACCACAGCATAAACACACCAAGGATGTTTATTTCTCTACATGCCACAGATACTACTCTATACTACAACGTATTTTGCCTACATTCTGCATCACACCAGGGACACCATGGGATTCTGGATCCAGTCTTGGCTGCTTTTGCTCCATTTTGCAAGTTTAAGGCCAGCCTGGAGGAAGACTCCTGAAGTGACTGAGAAACAAAGTGATGCTAAGTGGTGGTTTGGCTGAGAGAAGTTCTGCAGAAGAGCAAAGAGAATATCAGATCAATTCACAGGGACAAGATGTGAGAACAAACTCCTCCAAGGACTTCACAACACAAAAATGAAAATGAAAGAGCCAACAGCTCCAATTTATACCTTTTGAATTTGCAGCAAAACCAGTGTGGGGGCACTTTTTTTTGTGTGTGTGATGTGAATTGCTACTTCAATCCCGTTGAAAGTCACTACAAATAAAAAGATAGTAGTGAAAAATTGCTTTTTTCTGGCTGCTGGAAACGGAGGCAGAGAAAGAGCCTGAAGAAAGAACAGTGCTGAAAATATCCGTGGCTGAAAAAATCCATTTGTGTTGTGACTTCCTACAGCAAACCCAGCTTTGCTTTATTGCACCAAAATTGTCAGTGAAAAGTTCACAGAAATGTAACATTTTAAAAACCACTTCTGAAAATGGAAAGTTAAGGGCACTCAGCTCCAGAAAGTTCATTGAGGAAACCAAAAGCCATCTCTGGGTTACTGCAGGGCATCAAAATGAGAGAGTTGAGAATAACGAGGAATTGTTTGAGCCCTGCAGGCCCAACAGTACAGAAATCCAGGAAAATCCAGGGAAATCACGTTGTCTGAACAGACACACTCCTTCACTTGTCTTGGACTGCAATTGTGCTTGGAATCATCTGCTAGCAGGAGGTTCTGGGTATTCAAAAGGATTTTGAGCAGCTGCTGAGATCCCTTTGCACAGGAGGTGCAGACAGAGCCATCCACTTGATTTACCTGAATTTGCATTTGTATCTTCCAGGCTGGATCTCCACAGCCACGAGTTCTGCTCAGGGACCTCATCCCACAGTCCTCGGGTGGGAAATCTGAGCTCCAAGCAAAACCCACCCCACAGGATTGTCCTGAGGCAGCTCAGGTGTGGCCACTGTCACATCATCTGCATTGCTATCCAAGGCTTTCCTAAGATCTCCTAACAGGTTCCCAAATAAATTCTGTGCGCAAACAGGTTTCCCTTTGAGAGACAATTAGAGGCCTCATAATTTAAAGTGTAATTAGCCAATATCTTATCTACAGTAACTACAGCATCCTGTAGGAATGCAAGCCCTAAAAATCATTATAAAAAATATTTCCTTAGAGCGTTTTAAATAATTTACAAAATTCTACAAAAGCTACGAATGTCTATCTGTGATATCCCTGTTAAATAGAATTATTTTCACATTAGTGTGTGTATGATATACAGGTATCAGCATCTCCCACTGCCTCTCCTTTCCTGTCTCAAGTTTTATCAAGGTAATTACAATCAGAGTTATTTTATAAAAAGACTGCTAGTGTAAAAAAAAAAAAAAAGTACTTACATATTTGAAACCTTTTTTTCCAAGAGGGAACCTGGGCAGTCCCCTGCAGGTAGATCAGTAAATTTTGCACAGGTTTTGGTTAAAAATTCCTGCCCTTGGTGTACTTCACTAGCAGCTTCCCTGTTCTGCAGGACAGGTATTTTTCCTTCCATTTTGGAGCTGGATACCTGAATTTCTTCCTGCCTGTCAACTTTTTCTTCCTTAATGCACATCTGCACACGGTTATCTGCACATGCTCCTCCACTATTATACACTGCTGCTGCTGTCACATTGAATTCCTGCCTTGGGCAAGCTAAACTTGCATCTGGCCTCTTGTCCAGCTGGTTATTCCCTCCCTTACAGCCCACCTGAGCACTGTGCTGAGCTGCCTCTCTGCTGACTTTATCTGCTTTTCCCACACTGCACTCAGGGCGTGGGGGATCCGCAGTGGAGTCAGCCCAGCTGCCTTGGTGGATATCTCCTTCCTTGATCCACATCTGGGTATTCTCAGCTCTGGAGGTTTCTCTGCAAACCTTATCAGCTTTTCCTGCTGCCACGCTCTGTTCCAGAGAGGGGAGGCTGGAGTGGGACTGATCCCCTGGAGCATCAGCCTTCCTGCTACCCTCAGCTGCCTCTTTGACACACTCAGCTCCTGCACAGCTTTCTGCTACATGGGGACTCGCCCCTCCCACAGTGAGTTTCTGAGAAGAACTGGCTGCTGTTATTGCTGGTGTAATT